AGTAAGACAGAAAGATAGAAGTGCTTAACGTTTGATTGAATGACATAGAAAAGTTATATAAGAGATAACTTCAGTATCTCTCTATATTTCTCAGATTAAAGATTATGTACATTATTTACATTATTCGGACTATTGTCCTCATCTTTGTCGCTATATTTATTACAACGTTTCGGCCGTTGTACGATCCAGCCTTCTTCAGGTAGTTGGAATGTCGAACTTAACACTTTATTTCACTCACTGGGGTAGACCGGTTCTAGTTCTATGTGCCATGTATTAATGGATGTCATTTATCAGTCTCCTGTTAATTTCCCTCTGAATGTTCTCCACTGTCTTGGCCGGGTATTGAACTCACACTCTTTGGGTCCTGTCACTGGATTTAACCAACGCCTTTATCCACTGTGCCATGTGTCCTTGATACATTCCAACTACCTGAATAAGGCCGGAGCGTATAACGGCCGAAACGCTGTAATAAATATGGCGACAAAGATGAGGACAACAGTCCGAATAATGTAAATAAGAGATAACTTTTTATAGTTTCCGTTAATATCACGCTCTGGGAGCAAGTTAGCGAATGCCGAGTGTTCTACTGAATCAAATGCTTTCTCATTGTCAACCGAAGCTATACAAAATTGTTTGTTATGACCTTATGTTTTCTGTTGTTTTTTTTCAATCAACTGATCTATTGTTTTAGATGGTATATTATCCAGTGTTCTTCTTTTAGGTGTCGTCTCCTCTCAAGGACGTTTGTGATCATGGCTCTCCCCAGCTTTTTGTTCCATGAAGCTCTAAGCAAAGTCTGACTCTTTACTATCCCACTAAGTCCTCACTCTGAAAACCATTCTCAGAAAACCATTTGGTAGGTAACGCGTTGTTTCCTTTCTTGCCCTCCTATCGTCATTATGTCCCCTAAGTGTTGAATTATCTAAGCCTCCATTCCTCATAATTTGTCCCAGAAACGCCAACTGTCTGTTTCTGATTTTAAGTGTTATTCTGGTTCCTATTTTCTTTAGAACTTCCTTGCTGCCCATATGGTCAGTCTATTTTATTCTTGGCATTCTTCTGTAGAACTATATTTGTCTTTTCGCTTCGGGATTTCTTTATTTGTAAGAAATTGTCCAACATTTACTGTCATATATCAGAAGATATATAATACATAAAAATTAATACATAAAAATTAATTTTCTATATTCCTAATAAGTTTCTCTTCTTTTTCTTTTTCTTTTTTTTTTTTTGTCTAAATACTTTACCCATTCTGAAAACATCCCTGTCCGCGTGGCTGTTTTTTTTTTTTTTTTTTTTTTTTTTATTTATGCTAATGTTAATTTTTTTGTAAACACTTTGAAAATAAGTTGTATACCAATTGTGTGTTCAGGGTTAGAGTAATGGATAGTCGAGTTCGAATTCCAGTCGACGTCGTTGCATCTACTTACTTGTAAATACCCTTGGGAAGCGTATGAATCCATCTCCCCACACAATCCATGGATAAATAGTAATGCACTCTGGGTCATATAGCCTTGATTTGCAAACCATTCTAGGACAAGGACAACCCTGAATTCAAAACCTCCAACTATGGGTTAAAAAGTTTCACCAACCCGCAATTGGCCAAGCGTGAGCACGACTACACTCCTTAATCCTGTCAATCAGAGAGTGGTTCCTCCAAGTAGTTAGAACCTAGATTTGATTTCATGAGCTTTCATCCTTGGTATCTTTACTTTTTTTTTAGTTACGTTTGTTTCTAATATGGTTTTCAAAAGCTTTATTATCTCCCTTTAATTTCTTTAATAAAAGACTTACTATTTTTTCGACTGAACTTGTGAGGAATTTTCCTTTTCTGTTTAAACTGAGGTAAGATTGATTCTGAAGGATCACGTGATCAGAATTTACCAATCGAGTTTAACTCTGCTTTGGAATTGGGTGGCAGAAACTTCTATTTACTCAGGTGTGCAGCATTTGCCAGTAAACTGGAAAATTGTAGAACGATTTCGGGACATCGCCAGTTGAAGAGCTGGAGTTACAGTCAGTCGTCGGAAGAGATGCCAGCAAAAGTCACCAGGATGAGTTATCAAAAGAAGTCATCGGAAGTAAAAATACGCTGAATCTTAGTGGTCCCCAGCAACAGACACCTCGAAAGACAGAAGCACATACGACTTACCTGAACCAGTGGGTCCATATTGTTGGACTTAAGATATACACTCGTAGCACCAGTATTAGTGAATATTGCTAGCATTAAATTAAACCAAATTTTTCATATGAGGAACGTTGAATTTTTTCCTTAACAGAAATTATAATAAAGTTGTAATGTAACTAGTACTGTCGATTTCATCTTGTTCCAGAGATCTGGCATGCTTTGTTCGATAGTGCTTTTCCAAGATCTAAAAAACACAACGTGAGCTGAGAAATTCCTATACAAGATTGCCGAATCGACAATCAGCTAAAACGAAGAATATCTGGAAAGGCAAGATGCTTTAAGCTTGGATGTGTGGTGGTGTAATGAATAATGGCTCAGAGTTGGTAATCTAAGAGCCGAATTCCATTTCCAGTTGGGTTGGTTATATTCAACTCTTCTCCCCAGCTATGGGTTAATTAGTAAGACGTGTATCACTAAATTATTATATTCCCCAACCCAAAAATATTTTTACAATCTAAAATATTTTCTGCCTTTAAATAACCTGCAAAGGGTTGATAAACCGTAGAAAACTATTCAATCAATGGAAGAAAAAGAAATTAGCGTTTCAACCACCCAATAGCAACAACCTGAAGTTATAAGACTCTAGCGACCATGTGTCGGAGAGTAGTAGGTTTGTTATAAAGTGGTGGCGTCATACACCAGTTTATGACAACGGACTGTGGTGTTATAATTAATTTTATGTTTCCTTCACTAATACCGCTGTTAAAAAAAATGGATGTTAGATATCCATGGGTTAAATAGAAATAATTATTTTATATGAGTTAGCTAATAATAGGAAATAAAAAAATTATTTTAATTATGTCTGTACGTTGTAGCTTTTAATATTGCGCTAATGAATCATGTTTTTTTTTATTTATTAAACATTAATTAGAATAGAGAAAATGATGAGACAACACAAACCGGATGGAGAAACGGAATGAAATGGAAATAACAGAAATCTGACGAGAGTTATTTGGACTTTCGATCTTAATTGTAATTTGCTCAATATTTGCTGACTTAGTGGCGCCGTGATAAAAGTCATTCTACATTAAGGGTGCGCTGATTTGAATAACATTAGGAAGCAATGCGTGACGGCATTAATATATAGATTAATTATTCTTTAATTCTAATTTGCTTAATGAGATTTACGTCTGCTGTAGATTATAAAGAGAATTGTTAAGTTAACAAAACATTTTTTATCGAACATGTATATATTTTGAACTTCTTTTTCCTTCTTAGTTTTATTCAAATCCCCAAATCTAGACATCTTTTGTCATCTCTTAAAAATAGCCTAAAAGACGAATCACAATAACTTTTGTCTTCTTGTTCGAAAATAACGAATGATTTTTTTTTTATCACACTTTATTTTTTGGTATTGAATGTAAGTAGATGTCCAAGTGCCATAACAGTGATGCATTGTGGGTAGTCTGTGGCAATGTTTCTCAAAATTATTCTTGCCGTGGTCCCTTCAATCCAATTCAAGCTTTTTTATGGCCCCTCAAGCTAACTTGAGTTCTTATCTCACCTATTCCCTCTCGTCCCATCCCTCAACTTAATAAATCTAGAGAAATAGGAATATTAAAGGTTGTAGTTTGAATAGTACTGTGGCATCGAAACACTAACTCCAGTTGTAAATCAAAGAATAATATTATTTGGATAAATATTTTTTTTGAATAAACCCATTTATTTACAAAACAAAAACACGTAAAATCAGCTCTATCTTTTCTGATATCAATCGGATCCCTGTGACTGGTGCAGGGCTCCCAAATTGTCATTGTTTGGCTTGAATGCTGTCAGAGAGAGAGAGAGAGAGACGTAAACTGCCTCTTTTCTCAACGTAAAGACGATTTCGACTCTTTGATAGCATCATCCGGCTGAAAACCAGACTCAACCAAGTACGATGTAAGAAAAGCGAGTAAGAGCAACTTCACATCTTTCCAGAATAGTCGGTAATTCGAATGCATGTCTTCATTCATCCATCTGGTATCCTCCATGTTTGAACCTCACTTGAGCTGCTGTGTTATTTTGAAGTTAAACGAGACTTTCTTGTAAGATGATATCAACTTCAGATGTATTAGCAATGAAGGAATCCACAAACCAGTGCGGCACTGTCATTTGGAGATCAAAGAAATGAATTTTCATATAATTATGCAACTGCTTCAAATGATCAAAATAAACTGCTAAGTCATCATCAAGCAGCTCGGTTGATACATTTGCTAAGGTAGGAAACTGCAAACTCCCGTCTCCCAACGCTCAACCAGAACAGCTTCAGATTCCCGTTAAATGCGTTAATTGCTTCCTTGCAAGAAAACAGGGTAGAATCATTTCTTTGGAGCTTTTTGTTCAGGACATTTAGTTTTTCAAAATTGAAAGACAAGTTGGTGAAAACGTATCTTAATTTAAACTTTAAATTATGAATTTTAAAGTTTAAGAAATTGAAAACTAAAAGGTAGTCATTTTGTATAGATCAGATAAAAAATAAATCTTTATGTTAACAAAATGGTTTAGATTAATTTAATATTTCAATTAATAATAATTTTAATATTTTATTTTAAATAATAATTATTAATTACAAAATACTTCATATATATATTTGGTGGGTTCTAAATTTTCTGTGCCTCACCATTTTTCCAACTTGGCCTTGTAGCCCCTGAAAATATCTCATGGCCCTCTTGGGGAAATATGGCCCACGTTGAGAAACTGTGGTCAATTGCATTGCATTGTGGGTAGTCTATTATTCTAATGGTTATTTTGGTGGGCAGTAATGGTTGTGTTTGACCTTCTCCCATATTAAAATTAAATATAGTAAATACAGGATTTAATATAATATTTGCTTGCGGTCACATCACATTGAAACACGCGTTCCTGTACGATCACCGATGTTAAGCAACGTTAAGGCTGGTCAGTAACGAGATGAGTTACCGCTTGGTAATACCAGGTGCTGTAAGCTTGTATGTGTGGATGGTGTAATAGGTAATGGCTCAGAATTGCTTGAGTTCCGAGTTCCAATTCCAGTTGGGTTCGTTATATTCACTTACAGGCAAATACCATGGGGGAAAGTATAGATCCATAGAAGTATAGATCTTCTCAAATTTAATTAATAAGGCGTATCAATAAATCTTTATTATCTCAAAAATATAATTCTTACAATTTAAAAATATTTATTGGCTTAAAATAACCTACAAAGGGTTGATAAACCGTCAAAAACGAATCAATCAGAAAAACATTCATAATCTTATATTTGATACTTGGTTCTAGAACAAGCTTACAGATTACCCGTTTGGTTGGATGGTAGGTTGCCAGAGATTTCTTTTATTTCTCTTATGCGCCATCTTTTTCAAGCCGCGGACGATCATGGCTCTTTTTTTGACACTTCATCATTCCTCTTTGTCTCTCTAGATAAGTTAACAGCCGTTTTTCTTTTCTTCTCTTTTCTTCAAACGCCCTGTGTGTATTAAGTTCTCCGATTCTACTTTCCTTTTCCTTATAAATTTCATAAATATCCCAGAAATTCCAGTTGTTTCTTTCTGATTGTAAGTATAATTTTCTTGATCTTCCTATTTTCCTGAAGAATTCCTCGTTCCTCACATGTTCTGTCTATGACATTTTTAACATATTATAAAAAATCTAAAAAAATAATTTGGTATTATAAAAATCCAACATACATTTGGAAGAATACGTTCATTATTCAACGTTCTAATTTTTTTGTTTTTTATCTCTAACATTTTTCTGTGTCTTAATACTTTGCTTAGTTTCTGAAAGACATTTTTAGCTATTCCTATGCTGCTTTGATTTTCTGGGTCACATTTTTTTGTCGTCTTTTACTATCCAGATAGTTGGATTTTTGTTTTGTCCTCGTTTGATTCTGAGCTCCCCAATACGTACTACATACCTTATACTTCGAACAATAGATATGCTTTTTATAAAAACAATATATCAAAAAAAAAAATTTACTTATTCATGTTGTTATCATTAAGGTACTTACGACTTAGAAAAAATGTATTTATTCTATAATACCAAACAAAATGGGACGTTATATTGTGTTGTACAAACGTTCGTATCGTTTTTCAACAGGAATACGACAAAGAAGCTAGACTGTTATCGCTCCTCGCTATTCAGAGCTCAATCGAGGACAAAACATATAATACTACAAGAGAATCAGCACTATGAATTACAAACCCAGCAACTATTCCTTCTGTTCAAGATTTAATACAATCCTAGTTCTGATAATACTACTGGGAGTATTTCCCATAACCACTCGCGGTATTAACTCCTACCCACCCACTTGGACGAGATGTGACACAAGGTCTTTTTTAGATGAGGACCCGAGCGCGTACGCCCGGGACAAGAAAAAAAATTCCCCTCAGCTCCCGCAACCGTCAGTTGCGCTTCACCGATCCCTCCCTCTGGTGTAATGGGAGAGCCCGGCCCCGGGCAGCTGTTCCCCAGGGCTGGGCACTTCTTCAGTATTATTTTCCCAGTTGTCCCTCTGTCTTTGATAGAGAAGCCACTGAGCGCGCTCTGTCCAAAGACAGAGACTCAACTGGGAAAAAGAGTAAGTTACAGGCGGTATTAACTCGTTACCCCCACTTGGACGAGATGTGACACAAGGCCCTTTTTAGATGAGGACCCGAGCGCGTACGCCCGGAACAAGGAGGAAAACTGCCCTGAGCCCACGTAATCGTCGGTTGCGCTGGCCTCGAGCAGCGATCCCACCCTCGGGCAGCTGTTCCCCGGGCTGGGCACCTCTCAGTATTATTTTCTCAGTTGTTCCTCTGTCGTTTGACAGAAGCCCGCCAATGAGTTTATTCGTTATGCACATATTTATATATTTTGTCCCTGGTTCAGTTCTGAGGATCGGTATATGGTTAGCTTTCTTTTTGTTACTAATTACACTATTTATATTTTTCGAACTGTTGCCCTTATCTTTATTGTCACATTTACAATGTTTCGGCCGCTGTACGCTCCGGCTTTCTTCAGGTGATATACGTTGGAATTTCGAACCGAACCCTTTATATCGCCCACTGGTGTAAATTGTTCCAAGTGTCATGCTTTATCTGGATGTCTCAGTTTCACTTATTTCCCTTTAGTAACTCAACTCACTAAGTTTTTGTTCACCTCTGCTGTGGCCAGGTATTGAACTCACTGCTCTTTGGGTCAATAATAATTTTATTGTTATTTCCTCTTTTACTATATTACCCTATTCAACCTTTACGACGAGTAATATTTTTCCTTGTCTTTCTTTCTTTTCCGTTTTAATAGATTTGTGTACACTATGTGAATATGTACTTTTTTATAAAAAATATGTCCGTTTTTAAAGACATAAAATGCCTTGGTCCACTCATACATTATTTAAACTAAAGCCTTTCATATTTTTTAACATGATCACCTTGAGCGTGCTTTTTCAAAACATACTGTAAAATAACCATTAATTTTAAGGTTTATTTTTTCGTTTATGTCATATAACAGCCAGGGTAAATTTTCTATCGATTCTACTCTCTTAAAATGAGTTTACATCAGACCTAAATTAGACAGTGTATACTATATGGTTTCTTCAAGGCACGAATGTTCCCTTTTGACTTGTTGCAAATTACATCGAGGCACCGCAACGAAATATTCATAATGGCTTGATATATTCCGGAGAGATTTTGTAATACTTACTGAAGATAAGATATTTAGTTTTCTTATATGGCAAGGGTTTTCCCTCTTTGTTTATATTCCGAACTATTTCAAAACTGGCAAATTTCGCTAGATATTTTTTTTTCTGCTGGAAAACAAAGGCAGTAAATTTTAAAACCACTTATTGAATTCCCGGAAAATATTACAGGGATTTTCAGATAGGATTTTTTGAGCCCTGTGGTGTAACCCCCGGCTCTCAATTTAATTTTACCCCATTGATTATTAAAAAAAAAAAATCTGTGTACTGTTACTATTACATTGTTGAATTAAATTCCCGAAAGGCATGAACAAAGATTTCCGTTTGAATAGCTTTTAAAGAAACATGATTCTATGATTCTCTTTAACCGGAATACATGAAAAAAAATCCAGTATTTTTCAAAATGAAAAAAACAAGTACTTATTAAAAACACATCAGAATAACGGAATAATTATTTATCTCATTAATGTGATGGAATGGAATTTTTTTTAGACAGATTCACAGGAGTAGTCAAAGTTCTCAAAAGGTATAATGGCAGAATTTGAAAGGAATTGTTAAAGTAAAATTTTCTGTGTTATCCTTTTTTTTAAAGCAGTTATCCTTTAAGGACACATTAGGATGATAAAACACATTACGTTCGAGATGTGAAACAAGCCTCAAAAATTAAGTTTAGCTTAACATGGTACATGCTAAATGGAAGCTTGTAGTTTAATAACTCAATTGCTGCCCAAATCCTACTTTTTACAGCTTATCAAACTTTTATGTGTTCTTTAAAAGCAACAAATATCGTGGCGTCTTAATAATAATCCTTTCTGGAAGAGGAGGCGGAAGGGGATACTGCATTAAAAAACTGGGAATAACAAACATTTTTCGAGATACAAGTCTTACAATTTAACCCTTAGCAGGGGTGAATGATTCATGCCTTTCCCAGGAGTATCTGTGCGTAATGGAATGTAACCGTCTACTATTTGACCACTACTGGGTGGTGCTGGAAGTGGATACCAGGTGACAGATTGAGGCAGAAGGGGAGGAGGTAGTGGAAAAGTTCTCAAAAGGCAGGTATAATGGCAGAATTTGAAGCAGGAGGAAGGGGTTAAAGTAAACATTTTCTGCGTTATCCTTTTTTTTAAAGCAGTTAATAGGGGATAGCAGATGAGGCGGAAGTGGATAGCAGGTGAGGCGGAAGGGGATTACAGGTGTGCTGGAAGTGGATAGCAGGTGAGGCGGAGGTGGGCTGGAAGTGGTGGATAGCAGGAAGAGGCGGAAGGGGAATGGAGCAGGTGGGAGGCGGAAGGGAGGAAGTGGGCGGAAGGGAAAGAGGCAGGAGGGGATTACAGGTGTGCAGGGGAGGCGGAAGGTGGGGATGGATAGCAGGTGAGGCTGGAAGTGGATAGCAGGTGTGGAAGTGGACGGCAGGTGAGGCGGAAGGGGATAGCAGGTGGGGTGGAAGGGATAGCAGAGGAGATGAAGGGATTACAGGCTGAAGAGAATGAAACAGGTGGGGCGGAAGAGGATGGAAGTGCATAGCAGATGAGGCGGAAGCAGGGATAGCAGGTAAAAGGTGGGCCGGAAGTGGATGGCAGGTGGGGTGGAATAGCAGGTGCGGAAGGGGCAGGAGGAGGTGGATAGTAGGGGAAAACAGGATAGGAGGTAAGGTGGAAGTGATAGTAGATGAGGCGGAAGAGGATAGCAGGTAAGGTGGAAGTGGACGGCAGGTGAGGCGGAAGGGGATAGCTGGTGGGCCGGAAGTGGATAGCAGAGGAGGCGGAAGGGGAAAGCAGGGGAGGCGGAAGGGGATTACAGGTGTGCTGGAAGTGGATAGCAGGTGAGGCGGAAGTGAATAGCAGGTGGGCCGGAAGTGGATAGCAGGTGAGGCAGAAGGGGATAGCAGGTAAGGTGGAAGTGCATAGCAGATGAGGCGGAAGAGGATAGCAGGTAAGGTGGAAGTGGACGGCAGGTGAGGCGGAAGGGGATAGCTGGTGGGCCGGAAGTGGATAGCAGAGGAGGCGGAAGGGGAAAGCAGGGGAGGCGGAAGGGGATTACAGGTGTGCTGGAAGTGGATAGCAGGTGAGGGCGGAAGTGAATAGCAGGTGGGCCGGAAGTGGATAGCAGGTGAGGCAGAAGGGGATAGCAGGTAAGGTGGAAGAGGCGGAGAGGATAGCAGGGGATGAGGCGGAAGAAGGATAGCAGGTAAGGTGGAAGTGGACAGCAGGGATGAGGCGGAAGGGGATAGCTGGTGGGCCGGAAGTGGATAGTGGAAGGGGAAGGAAAGCAGGGGGGAGGCGGAAGGGGATTACAGGTGTGCTGGAAGTGGATAGCAGGTGAGGCGGAAGTGAATAGCAGGTGGGCCGGAAGTGGATAGCAGGTGAGGCAGAAGGGGATAGCAGGTAAGGTGGAAGTGCATAGCAGATGAGCGGAAGAGGATAGCAGGTGAGGCGGAAGGGAAGAGGGGGATAGCAGGTGAGGTGGAAGGGGGTAGCAGATGAGGGCTGAAGAGAATAACAAGTGGGGCGGAAGAGGATAGCAGGTGAGGCGGAAGGGATAAGGTGGGGCAGCAGGGGATAGCAGGTAAGGTGGATGGCAGGTGAGGCGGAAGGGGATAGCAGGTGGAGCCGGAAGGATAGCAGGTGTGGATAGCAGGTGATGGCAGGTGAAGTGGATTGGGGCGAAGGAGATAGCAGGTGAGGCGGAAGGGGATAGCAGTTGAGGCGGAAGGGGAAGTGAATACCAGGTGGGCCAGGTAAGGGAAGTGGACGGCAGGGAGGCGGAAGGGGATAGCTGGTGGCAGGATAGCAGAGGAGGCGGAAGGGGGGGAAAGCAGAAGGGGAGGCGGATAAGCTGGAAGTGGATAGCAGGTGGAAGGTGGGCCGGAAGTGGATAGCAGATGAGGCAGAAGGGGATAGCAGGGTGGAAGTGAAGCAGATGAGGCGGAAGAGGATAGCAGGTGAGCCGGAAGGGATAGCAGGTGAGGCGGAAGGGATAGCAGATGAATCGCGTTCAAATTTTCATTCAGAAAATGCAGCCCAGAGAAAAAAAATTTAAACCAACTAGCAATCGGAGAGAGTTATCAATGATAATGTTCTGACTTTGAATACACGGTTATCTCCCTTTAACTCTCTTTCTGCTTCTTTTTATTTTTAAATGTATTTTTTATTAAATAAAATTTGTGAGTAGGCCCAGAGAAAAAAAAATACTTGGTAACCACTGCTTTAAAGAAACTCGTACTCTAGGTAAATATTCATTCACGCAAAGCGCTACAATATTATCCAAAGAATCAAACAATAACCTTCAGTGATAAATACTTAAATAGACTCAGCCAGGGCTTCGTTAAAATGGTAGATATCGAAACCTGAGGTTCCATAAAACACTTAACGGGGTCAAAAGTTACTTGGGAGTACTTTCTGCCACAACAGAATAAGCTTACCTTTTTTCCGACGTCTTTAGCAAAGAAAGGAAAATGGGTTCTACAGAAAGATACTGAGGATACTATGTACCGAACACTTGAGCAGCGACGAAGTTTTAGAGAAAATGGAAACAAAAACGAAATTTATACTTAACATAAAGAGACAATTAAGGTTTCTGGGGCAGATTATGAAGATTGAGGTTTGGAAAAGCTGATACCCACAGAACAGAATGAAAGCAAGAGAGACAAAGGAAAACAGCACCTGATATATTTAGTGAGCTTGAATAAATAGATTGCGGGGCAGGGATTATTCTCGAGAAAACCTCAATTTTAGTCAATTTACCCCCGTAATGTGGTTTTCCTTCTGTCTTTTCTATTAATATTTTCATGGTATTTGTTCTAATGGTCTCTCCTGTTTTGGTATCGCAACCACATAAATAAATTACAGTAGGTTAAAAAAAAATTATATAACCTTTGTCACCTGAAAACATAATTTGATGTAGGCATTTTCTAAGCGTAGCATAGATGTGGTACAAGGGCGAAAGAATGGAGCACCCAGTGAGGCCGAAACTCTCTGATCACTCGGAACTGATCAAGCTTACTAACCATTTGACATATTTGTATATTAATTTATCAGAAATTGCTTGTTTTAATAAGGAATTGATTTCAGTTTGAGCCTGTGAAAAGATCTATTAGCACATCCTACAAAAAAGTTAGGTGGTGTTAGGTGTGTTAGGCGGAATAGCCACTCAATTGCTCCAGGTCACTGTTTCCACCTAAGCATGAAAAGAAAAGAACGTTACTTTTGCCGCTCACTATATCTATATCTACACACACACACACACAGACACACACACACACACACACACACACACACACACACACACACACATATATATATATATATATATACGTAGATACACATATAAAATCTACATATATATATATATATATATATATATATATATATTCATGAATTATTCACACAAAAACAAAAGCAAAGGTTAATGATTTAATTGGCGAGAAATCCATCATCGCAAACAATTCAAATAATATACAAAAACCTCCGAATCCGTTATGAATGAATTGATCCTTGTTTCCATAAATTTCTGCCGTATTAGTTCTTATTTTTACTACAAGCTTTCGTCTGTTCCTACAGACATCTTCAGGTATAGAATAGATGTTGTTCTTGTTTTTTCTCTTAGTAATAAGAGGACAACGAAAATATATGTATTGTTGTATCCGAAAATGCTACTGAAAATGAGTTATTGTTTTTGGAGCGCGCAGTAGCAACGCTGAGTTTGATTTTAAATTTGTAAAGGTTGTGCGTTCATATAAATATGGTGATGAACGAATTTTTTACTGGTAAATCGTAATTTAAATAACTGATCCAAGTGCGACTTTTGGATAATAAGTGCGACATTACTGTAATTATTGAACAATATAGTTCATGCCACTTTGACAGAAAATTTACCAAATTTGCGATGATGGATTTACTTGTTTGCGATGATGGATTTCTCGCCAATTAAATCATTAACCTTTGCTTTTTTTTTTGTGTGAATAATTCATGAATTTTTAAATTGATTGCACGTTTATCGTATATATATATATATATATATATATATATATATATATATATATATATATATATATATAAAAAAAATGCTTAAAATAGCTAAAAGAATAGCCAAAATAACTCGTCTATATAGAACATTCGGACAGTTTTTGCACATTTTATGTCCCAAAAAGAAAACATGCGAACACAAGAAAACTTAAACGCAGTACCTTTTCTCGTCCTCAATGAAACTTGTATGAAAGAAGGAATTACTGCCTAAATACAAATTTTATATATATATATATATATATATATATATATATATATATAAATATATATATATATGTGTGTGTGTGTGTGTGTGTGTGTGCATGTGTGCGTAAGTGTGTGTGTGTCGTGCGTTTCTGTGTGCGTGTGTGAGTGTGTTTGTGTGTGTGTAGGGTGACTCAGAAAATATATGCAACTTGCTTTCTCTTCAGATTTGCATGATGGCATTACTAATTTCGTCAAGGCTAAGCTTTGAACAAAATTCATTCTGAAATGCTACTGAAGAAAGCAATTGAAGTTCAAAGGCTTGTATCTAAGAGAGTTTCTTTCAGATCCGCTCACGCGGTTTACAATCTCACGAATTAGAGACGAAGTCTGAAGCTGATGGTACCGTACACAATGTGCACAAGAATCATTCCAAGAGACCATCCCGCGCCATGTGAAGCAAGAAAGAACAATGGAAAGTTTTGCACAGATGTCCAAGAAACCAATCGAAATGTTGACGGCTGCTTGCAATTCCACTGCGTCACGTTGTCAGAAATGTCTGGATCATAACGGACATCAACTTGAATGCATACATGCGATGACAAATTCTTCAAATCCATTAATTAAATTGTAACTAGTTTGTTCTTGTTGCTTGAATTATTTCTTGAGAAAGCTTCAAAATGTCGAACACACACACATATATATATATATATATATATATATATATATATATATATATATATATATATGTGTGTGTGTGTGTGTGTGTGTGTTATATATATATATATATATATATATATATATATATATATATATATATATATATATATATATGTATAGGGAAAATGTATGACAAAGATTAGGTGTTACGCGGTTCATCCTTCAGGACATCATCGGTACTTTTCCAGCTTTTTTGTCATACATTTTTCGCGATATATATAAATATATATCGTTATCTCATTCTACACACACACACACACACACACATATATATATATATATATATATATATATATATATATATATATATATATATATATATATATATAAAGATGTTAATTATATGTATATTATCTCTTAATTTTCCCTGAAGATACTCAAGTTGTCTGCTAATTTTATTTGCTCGAATTGGACAGATTTTAATTCTATTCGACACGCGGAAATAGCACCACTGTGCCAAAAAGGAAGGGAAAGAAAGAAGGGAAGAAAAAACTAAGAAAGAAAGAAAGAGAAAACAAAAGAAAAAAAGAAAGAAAAAACAGAAAAGAAAGAAAGAGAAAACAGAAAAGAAAGAAAGAAAGAAAGAAAGAGAAAACAGAAAAGAAAGAAAGAAAGAAAGAAAGAGAAAACAGAAAAGAAAGAAAGATAGAAAGCGAAAACAGAAAAGAAAGAAAAAGAAAACAGAAAAGAAAGAAAGAAAGAAAGAGAAAACTGAAAAGAAAGAAAGAAAGAAAGAAAGAAAGAAAGAGAAAAAAGAAAAGAAAGCCAGAGATAGAAAGCGGAAAATAAAGAAAGAAAGAGAAAACTAGAAATGAAAGAAAGAAAGAAAGAAAGAAAGAGAAAACAGAAAAGAAAGAAAGAAAGAGAAAACTAGAAAAGAAACAAACAAACAAACAAACAAAGAGAAAACAGAAAAGAAAGAATAAACGCCGTAAATTTTACGTCAAAGGGACAACAACAAATTAAATTGATTAGAACTTATCATTCTCACTCGTTTCTTTTCTAATTCAAAACATTTTATATTTAATTCTTTTTTCGTTTGTTGATTTATATTTGCTTTCGTCCTAATAGACTTATCTATTCTAACAATATTAAGAATATATCACAAGAGGCTCATGCGCAGTCGCACTTGTCATTCTCGGCATTCGACATCTTCAGCAGTATGTATGTCCCTAAAATGAAATTGACCAATTAAATGTTTGCATTTATGATTTTTTCACAGACAGAAATTCACAAGCACGAACTATTCAAACCGGAAAAATAGTTATACAGTTTCTTTTTGTTGGCCTTTCTAAATCTAAGTATAGCATAGATTTGGCACAAAGATATTAATGTGGGTCACGGTACATTACGTTGTAGACGCTATGCAACTCTCTCTCTCTCTCTCTATTTCTCTCTCTCTCTTTCTTATTTTAACAGATATATTTACCAAAATTACATAAAGATATCTTGAAATACTAAAGAGTAAATTTACTCAATAAAATCGCCATTGGCTTCAATCACGGTCTCCAGACGACTTCGGAATCTCCTGCAAATCTTCTGAGAGTCTTGTTTAAGTTGGTGAATATAGCCATAATCCTGGCCTTCGGACATAATACTCTGCACTCCATATATAATAATCAAGGTGGTTGCAGTCTGGAGAGTTGGCTGGCCAGATGTAAGGGGTTATGTGGTCGCAGAAATTGTCTGACAGTCACAACTGTCTTCCATCGCTTGTGTGACATGGTGCAGAGTCGTATTGTCAGACATAGAATCTTCCAGTAGCCAACCTCTTGAACCCATTGCACCCTATATATATATATATATATATATATATATATATATATATATATATATATATATTGACATTTTTTATGTTTATACATTCTTTTTATAGATACAAATATTTGAGTAAATGCTCTGTTTATAATAAACAGTATTAAACAACATTTACCGGCCTGAATGTCCGAGAAATTTTCATAGAAAATATTCGTCCTCCGACAGGAATCGAACCTGTATCCTATATGGAAACGTCATATAGCCTGACTTGCCGTTTCGACCACAGTCTTAACATAATTGTCGGACTTTGTCCATTTCATAATTTGTGACGTCATTCGTTTACATTTGGATACGTCATGAGCAGATATGAATTCACGTGAGAGAATCATTGAAATTTGTAGTTTAAAGACAGTAAAATCGACCTTGCCAACCGAACGCTCCTCTGTGGCGGAACCGGTTATGGGACGTCAGGCCATATGACGTTTAGGATGCAGGTTCGATTCCTGTCGAAGACGAATATTTTCTATGAAAATTTCTCGGATTTTCAGGCCGGTAAATGTTGTTTAATACTGTTTTTTTTTTATAAACAGAGCATTTACTTAAATATTTGTATCTATAAAAAGAATGTATAAACATAAAAATGTCGTAAAATAATTTTCGGACTTTGTCCATTTCATAATATATATATATATATATATATATATATATATATATATATATATATATATATATATATATATATATATATATAAAGTCTAAGTGTCCTGAAGAAACGTATTTATTTTATATAAATTCTTTTCATATCGTCTGATAAGCTTAATAATATTATCATTAAATGAAGAAAAAAATCACACTATTGATACATATTTTTTAATCCTAAACTTTCGGCGTACATAAGTCATTATAAAAGATGGCAATGACTGTACAATATATTAAGCAACACACGGACAAGACAGTGATGATAGTCTGTTTCTGTTTACATGGAAGATTTCCAAGCAACGACAAACTCGTACATATAAGACGCTGGAAGCAAAAATCGCACCGCAGATCATGACGTCACGCATGACTACACGAGTGTGAATTCGAGAAGTATTAAGTATGGGAATCCGTTGGTATAAACCAATGGCTTCTGTAACCAATTATAGGCATTTAAGAATATTTTTAGAGATTTCATAGTTTATTTTGTTCAGGTCAGATTTCAACTGTTTTATGTATCTAGCTTCAAGAATTTTTAGTTTTTGTTTATTGTTTTCATGTTTAAATATAATTGTGTTTTCTACAAGGATTTTCCGGAATTGTGTACGCGGTCAGGTATGTTGTTTTAAATGCCTAAAAATGTTAGACTTATCATTCAAATGTAGTGTCAAGCGTCGTGAAAGCGAGTTTGTGGTGTGACCGACATAAATATTATTTAATTCGTTGGAGATAAAATCTCCTAAAGGGCACTTGAATTTGTAAACTATGTTGCAAATCGCTAACCGGGAGAGAAGAATGAATATATATATATATATATATATATATATATATATATATATATATATATATATATATAATCTGTTGAATTATTATACACGACAATAAGTGTTTTAGATATTTTTCAGTATTTTAGACAGTATGTATTAGATTGATGCATTTAGTTAAATCTCTGCAATAATCATTAGCTGCGTTTAACTAATTAATAAGGTGAAGTTCAGACATAACTTTCAACGAGAAATTACAAAACAATAAATGAGCACCTTTTTTAATCAAATATTAACGATAATGATTTAATGAAATCAAAACAAGTTTAATTATCTGAAGTTACATTACGGTAATTGACAATTTAGCTTATTACAACAAAGAAAGGCTTGTCTGGGATTGACTGGTGCTTTGTGAGCTGGTCTTTCGCGCCACTTCTTTTCCACGAGAATATACCGTATGCTCTAGTGTATAAGATGACTTGAAGCTAAAAACATGGAGTTGAGCGTTAGACATTCTAATGGGTGACAGGGATGGTTCTCTGTGGTGAGTAATAGAGAGCAGTTTTGTTTTTTGAGGCATTAAAGTTAACCAGACAATTCCTATCTCAGTCCACAACCGACTGGAGTTCCTTTTCGAGACAAACAGTACCTTTTCTGATTTTATTATATGTATATATATTAATAAACTATAAAAATAAAAAAAAAACAATTGTGTTTCATTTCAAATGAGGAGAGGAAACTAAAAAACAAAAAAATGGCAAAAAAGTAAAAAGAAAACCAAAATGTAAACAAACGTTATCTTTTGAGAAAAACAAGACATTTAATTATGCTGATTCCCAAAGAACAAATATTGCCGACATATGAAATGCCTTTTGTAATCAATTGTTATCAACACCTGCTTACTTTGTGTTTTCTCTTCTATTGTGAAAACTGAATGTATTTAGAATTTTGCTGTTTCAAATAAGCGTTATTTTAAGCTGGGTAAACATTTCTGAAAACGTGTATTGTTTACAATGGGATCCCTATTTTACCTATAATATTTATTCAACGATTTCTCGTATTATACACAAGAAAATACGTCAATCGTGTGGCGCAATGTCATATTTACCTAAGTTGTGGAACATATCATGGCTGCCGGTAGAAAAAAATTCAAAGGTTAAGAGTTTGATATCAACTTTATACCTAACTAGTGTATCTTTTGTCTAAAATTTTGGGATGAGGAGTTATCGTTATTTATACTATCTACATTCAGACTATGGTCCTCATTTACTTGTGGTTATCACAGTGTTTCGGTGATTGTGTCATACAGCCTTCCTCAGATGTACGAGGTTTGTCTGAAAAGTAACGGGACTGGATGTGCTCTGTGAGTTTTGGGTGAAAGAGGGAGAAGTGGATTGGGTTATCATTTAACATGATATCTTGAAAGTATATAAGTATAATCTTAGCTTTCTATAACCATTGCATTTTTTTTCACAGACGAGAGTTGTGACAAGACAAATCGTGACTGCTTTACCACAATGCACCTGCTCACAACGCCCTGGGCATCCGGCAGTTCCTGACAGAGAAGAACATCGCCGTACTGCAACAACCTCCCTATTCACCTGATCTTGCTCCATGTGACGATTTTCTTTTCACCAAGCAAAAGGTGATTATCAAGGGGACTCGTTTTGAAGGCGTGGATGCCATCAAGAGGAACTTAACAATGGAGCTGAGGGCGTCCAAGACGAATCCTTCCAGCAGTGCATAGAAGCGTGGCGGAGAAGGATGGAAAAGTGCAATTAGACGTGAGGGGGGTTATTTTGAAGGGAAAACCATGTAGTTTGTTCTTTGGAATTTAAATAAATTCTTTGAGACACCAGTCCCGTTACTTTTCAAACAGAGATTCTGAATTGAACCCAATTAATCATTTCTTTAACTGCACTAATCTTCACCCAATACAAGACTTAAGAAAAGAATCACTAGTTTGGGGGGAAAATAATTTGCCTGAGCGGTACTTCTTCCTTACGTAAGAAGTTATGGTGATTCGACTCTAGCTGTGAGGACAGGACTGACCGGTCCAAAGTACGGGATTCATTTTGAGAGCTGACACGAATGAGCAATAATGCACATACTTACAAGGCTGCATCAGTTGGAAAGAGGACGCTGAGTGGTAAATGTCGTTCCTACAAGCCCGCGTAAAAGATTCGTATATGATGTTTGCGCAGCGGCTCCTCGGGTATGGGAGGAAAACTTCCTTTTAATCTGGATCTTATAAAAATAATGCGCGACAAGAATCAAATAACTCCAAAATCGAGAGAATAAACCGATCATTCACCCCAAGCAAGACAATAAAGCCACTATGACGCAAGGGGGTTATAAAGTGTTAAAGAACATGAGAAAAACAATATTATTGAAAGAGAACAATAAAAGAAAAGGAATTAAGAAAACAGTAGATAACAATTGCAATGTTTACTGGGAAGCAAGAAGCCGACAGACAGTTCCACAAGAGAGAAGTGCGAGAGAAGAAACGGTTAGCATAGAACTTACGGTTACATCTAGATATTTCGACTGTCAAAAGATGAGGCCTTGCTGCCAATCTTGTCTTTTGTGACAAAAGAAATGGTTAAACATCGGAAAACATAAGGAAAAATTAATTCATTTAAATAATATGTGGAAAAACTACTTTTCACCTAAGGAAGGTCGCAAGACCAGAAGTATGCGAGACAGAAATATGGAAAATAATGTATAATATATATTTTAAAAATCCACATTATAACTAAAAACTTTTGCAGCTTCTCTCTACACTTTAATATATATATATATATATATATATATATATATATATTTATATATAAATATTATAACATATATATATATATATATATATATATATATATAATTATTTATTCGAAAATTATAA